AATTTCCAACTTTGTATAATTGTTTTGATATGTCTTATAATACTTTGAATCTTCAATAAATAAAAAAAATTATTAAACAATTATTTAACAAAAAAAAAAACTCAGGTTAACAATACATTATTACATTAGCAGCTTGTTATATTTTAGCTCTCCCTCATCAGAAATGGTGCAAGAAGAGGAAGAAGAAGAAAACTTTTGACTTTAACAGCACTTTATTTACACAATTCAAGCATACAAACAATTTACGTAAAACAAGTGTTAGTTAAAAACACTATTAATATTAAAACAAGTGTCAGCTAAAAATTAGGAGCTTGATAAAAGACGTAGAAGAAGAACTGTACATTGTTAATTGGACATGATCAGTAAAGCCCGGTGTGCCGCCCTCCACACCAGGTGGGGGCGCTAATGCTCCTCTTTGCTCACCTGAAGAGGACCAGGAAGCTACGTGACTTCCTGTCCAAAATAGTTATCCTCTCAGACTTTTTTATCTGCATCATGGGGGTTTTTAAGCGCCTAATTAGTTTTTGCCTTTTATAATCGACCCTTCTGGGTTTCTCCCCTCCGGGCAGGAGCTCTAGGACCATGGAGGACAGAGCTCTAGATGTTTACGGTACGGACATTTATTCTGAAATTCGATCAAAGTTAAAGGAAATGTTGAACTTAAGGGGTTGATATTTAGATTTTGAAGAAGCTGCTGTTAGAGATGCATTATGATTGGAAAGAGGAAAACCTTTTTTTTAATGAATTCAGCTGTCTGACAGAAAAAGCGGCTATTTTTTTCCTCCTTGTTGAAACATCTTCTGATTTTACCCTTTAACAACCTCATTTCAGATAAAAAGGATTTCCTCCTAATTCTTTTAATCCTTGTGACCCCAGTGCTGCAGAAAAACGCTTCTTATTTTCTTTAACATTAGCTGAAAATGAAATGCATTTATCCAAGTATTATTTATGCCATTTACATAGCAGTGTTAAACATTAGTCTCTATAACCTGTTTAAGTTTGAGCAGCAATGGTCTCCAAATCCTTTCTCTCTTTTCAGTGACTATCATTGACATTTGTTTTATCCTTTTAAAGCCTGAAATATTAAATAATTGATAGGAATTTCAAATTTTTCAAAAAAAAAAACAAAAAAAAAAAAAACATACATTTTACATACAAGGTTAATGAGATCATTCAATTTTGATACAGGCATTTCTCTATAATATTTAATATGCTTTCTGTTCACTGCATGTGTCTGATTGTGTAGTTCAGGGTTTCAAGAACAAAAGTACCGCACTGATGTTGAGTGGTCTCAAAAACTCATGTATCGAATATGATACACTTGGCTTTAAAAGGAGTTAAGAAGATTATTCAGAACTGATAACTAGGGATGCACTGATCCACTTTTTCACTTCCGATACGATACCGATATTTAAAGTTTAATGTCGGCCGATACGATCCGATACCAAAAACAGCACTGAATTATTACCTAAAAAA